TTTTTTTTTTTTTTTTTCTCACATGTTCATTCCTTAGTAACTGTGATAGTTCCATGTTAACTTGACTGGGCCATGATTCTCAGTGGTTTTGAAGTTAAGATATAGTAACTACCATGATGAGATCGGATATGAGCAGCCAATCAATGGAAAGGAAGCTTCCTCAGAGGTGTGGGCTGCTTCCAATAAACTGGACACTGGGGCAAAGCTTGCTTGCTTTTTTGCTGGGTCTGGACACTGCACCTGGTTTGTTATCTGACCTTTAGTTCTTTGGACTCGAACCAGTGGCCTGCTATTATATTACCTACTGATCTTGGGAGTCATCAGTAGTCTGCCATCTTACCTGCCAACTTTGGACCCATTTGCCCCTACAGCCAGAAGCCTGCCATCTGACCTACTGATCTTAGATTCATCAGCTTCTGCAGAAGTTTTAAGCCTGACATCTGGCCCACAGAATTGGAACTTGCCTGTCTCTACAACTGTGTGAGCCATTTTCTTGAAATAAACCTTTCTGTATGTATGTATGGATGTATATGAAAGTTCCGGTAAAGATTTACAACCTCAGAAATCCTACACAGGGCCACTATGAGTCCAAACTGACTCAATCGCACCTAACAACAATCTAACAACAAATATATGGTTTTGCGTCTCTGTAACTAAACTAAGATGTTGTTGTTGTTATGTACTGTGGAGTCGGTTCCAACTCATGGCAACCCTGTACAGGGTTTCTGAGGCTGTAAATCCTAACAGGAGCAGAAAGCCTCATCTTTCTCCCGTGGAACAGCTGGTAGTTTCGAACTGCTGACCCTGAGGTTAGCAGCCCAATTCGTAACCACTACGCTTCCAGAGCTCCTAAACTAAAGTAGTAACATAATAAAAATATAAACTAAGCTGGTATGTATACTCAATCCCTTTCTCTGTCACAGTCTTCACACCAGGGTTAAGAATCTTTATGAAGAATAATTTGGTTACAGTGTCAGGTCCATTTGACTGAAATTTGATTAACTGAGCCAATAAATTGTAATAGTCCCTGTCTGAAGAAAGAATGTGCTAGCTAAACAGAAAGGATCTACATAGAGTGTTTTGTGTTTGTTTTAAATAAAGAGAATTCTGGTTATGCTCCAAATGAAGTAAGCATAATGCATCCTATCTCTGATCACAGTGATCATAATCAGTCCAAGATACATTTTTCATGCAAGCAAGGAGAAAAATAGTCACTCTTCTTGATCATTAATAGCTTCTTTTTTGGGGAGGGAGACGGGGGGGGGGGCGCTGTGAGACTTTATTGAGTCAGAGGAAAGGGCTCTCTTTCACTTCACCAGTCGCTTCCTGGGGACCCCTCCTGGCTCTGTGGTGGGTCCCAGGCAGC